GTGGTCGACACCTAGGGCGGTAATGGTTGGCCAGTTCGCTGGGAGACTCGTGATGTTGAGGCTGACGAGGTGGATGGAGCGACCTGGCCCATCTCCGTCGGTGGAGCTGGGGTTAGCACGCCCCGCACGGTGGAGGGCGGCCTGGCCGTCACCCAGGTAGGAGGCTTGGCCACAGTAGGAGCTCATGGCGTCGCAGCAGATTGGCTTGGACGGGGCTGAAGCCGCCGTCGGGCCAAAAGTGCAGGCTAGGCATGGTCGACGCTGCGCCGGGGGGGGGTCATAAACATCGGCAAAACTGCCTCGAAAAAACCTCCTCACCCCTGTACCGTGGGGGGCGGAGGGAGGAAAGGTGAAACGGCAGCAGGGGGAGAGGGAGGCGACTCCTCGATCCATCCTGCCGAGCGCAAGAGCAAAAGCAAACCAGCGGCGGCAGCGTGGCGCGGCAGCGGCGCAGCGCGCGCGCGAATACTGCGCACGCGACACCGCTGGTCCGTCCTGCGGCGGCGCGCCCGCCCCGTCAGTGCCGTGATGAGCAGCATCAGCTGGAACAGCTTGTTCATGTGCGCCCTCCGCGCTCGCCTCGGGCGGTGGGCCCTGTGGCTGCGGCGGCGCACGCCCTGCCAGCGCGTCAGCCACTAGCTGGGCGTGGCGAGCGGCGCGGTCGGTGGCCTGGCGCTGAGCCTCGTCCATGCCCGCTGCCGTGAGGCTCGCGTTGCGGACAGGGCTGACTCCACGCGGGGCCGCCGCTGCCGCGGCAGCGGCAGAGGTGGCGGGGGCGCCGCCGTGGCTCTGAGGAGACAGCGGCGAGCCGCCGCCGAAGCCCGCCGCGAGGTCCTTGACGGAGTACTTGTTCTTGAAAGGGTCGAAGGTCGGCGCCTCGTCGGGGGGGACGACGCGGGTGGGCGGTGGCAGCTCCTGATCCGTGGACGGCGTCGGCTCGAGGTCGACCTCGTTAGGGTCTTTGGCGCCGGCACCGAAACGTGGCGCCACCTCGGGGGCGCGGGCGTCAGCCTGAGTCTCGCGGGGCGGCGAGCTCGTGGAACTCCCAGGGGGCTTGCGCGAGCTGTGGCGGCTGCTGGGCCGGCTGCGCGGGACGCGCCCGCCCGTGTGGCGGTCACGTGGCGAGGCCGCCTGGGCGTTGGCGCGCGCAGAGTCCGCCCTGCTGGGGGAGCGGATCGGCGCTGCGCTGGGTGCTGGGCTGGGCGGGCGGGAGCCGCCTGTGCCGCCCGCCGCCGAGGCTGCAGCCTGGTCAGGGTCGGCGGCGTCAGGCCGGGGGCTGACGCGGTGGGCACTACCCTCGCTGTGCCGCGGGGAGGCGCTGCGGTGTGCCTGGGTGTGCGTGAGGACGAGCGGGACGAGCGGCTGCCGCTCGCGCTCAGGGGGGGCGGGCTTTGCCTGGGCAGGGCGCTGCGCTGCGGCCGCGTTTGGCGGGGGCGTGTGTTGGCGCGGTTGCCAGGCGCGCACGTTCGCCTCGCGCCATCCTTCGGGGCGCCCTGTACTGCCGCGGCTTAACGCAGCCCCCTGGGCTGAAGCCGCAGGGGGTGCCGCTGCGGACTGGTTGCTGGCGGTGCTGTCGTGGCGGCCTGGGTAATGGCCCCAGGCACGCGTGGACCCTGGCGCGGGCGAGGTGGCCCGTGGGGGAGCCTGCGCGAGTGCGCGCGGGTAGCCGACGACCGCTGGGTGCACCCTGGCGTGGGGGACGTGGCCGTAGCTGGAGGCGGCTGCCCCTGCCGCCGCGGGCCTGGCACCAATGGGGCCGCGGTGGTAGGCGGCGCCTCCGCCGTGCACCGCTCTGTCGCCTGTCGGGACGCGCGCAGGAGAGCGGTTGCGTGGCGTGCTCGGCTGACCTGCGTCGCGTTGGTCGCGCTGCTGGGTGCGCTGCTGGTGCTGCTGGTAGCGCTGCTGGTCGGCTCTCGAGAGCGGGCGGGTGTCGGGGAGGATGGGCGGCACGTCGGGCCGCCGCCAGCCCTGGTAGACGTGCTCGAAGGCATGGTCTGGGTAAGTCTCCCCGTCAGGTGAGTAGCGCCGCACATGCTCCACGAAGTCAATGTTCTGCGGCTCGGGGAGCACCGTGATGTTCACAGCCCGCTGGTGCGCTGGTCCATAGAGACAGAAGCTACCACGGTTGCTGCGGTCGTGGTTCAACTCGGCTTCGGTCGTGGCACGACTCACCATGGCGTCACAGAGGCGCATGTCGTAGTCGAGAGCTTGAGGCCCAGGGCCGCCCTCGGCATCCCAGTACAGTACCACATCCCGCCAGCGCGTGCGGGTAGTGTGGATGCGCTCGGCGATAGACTCGCAGACGGTCCTGACTGTGACACGATCCCTGTACATGTTGGTGATGGCTAGGGAGTAAGGTCGGCGCACCGCTTTGTTGAAGATGAAATCCTCCTTGAGGGCCTGGTGCGGGCCGAAGAGCACGTAGCCTTCCTTCCACAGCGGTTGGTCGGGAGACGGGTCTTCAGGCATCCCCGTCCCTGTGAACCCTGGTGGCCGCCTCGTGCCGTCGGGCAATCCCTGCTTGGGGACGCGACGCGGCCTCGGTGGTAGATACCATTGGCCCTGGTATCCTGCTTGGCCCGGTTGCGGAGGCTCCCCCCCGGGGCCTGAAGGCGCTCGGGGGGGCTCCATGAGGTCGTGCTGGGCTGGCGCGTTGCCGTATTGGCGGGCGAGGATGTGCGGAGGCATCCCTATGGCACGGACGTCGAGCAGGCTGTGCGGACGAGGCGGGTGCGGGCATCTGCTGGAGAGGCAGCATGTGTCGGCGGCCCTGTCGTCGGTGCTGTACACGCACGTCCAGATGTTGCAAGAGTAGTCCGTGGACCAGTCCATAGGTGCACGCAGTCCGCTGAGGGAGCAGTCCGGGCACGTGGGTTGGCCCGAGGTGCCGAGCTGCGTGTTGTGGCGGGCAGCACAATACTGGCAGCATTGGAATCGGCACTGTAGGCAAATCCAGCGTCCTGGTAGGGGCGAGAACGCTTGCTCGTCGGTGACTGCGTCGTCTGGGTGGGGTCGGGGTCGATCCCACAAAGGCCAGACGTCGGCGAACCAGGACTGGCCTGTAGTGCGGACCACCTCCGCGGGGAGGCGAGCGTCGTCAGCATGGCGCTGGATCCACTGGGGCCCCAGGTCCGCTGCGATCATGACCGTGCGCCAAGTGTCGTCCGCCTTGACGTGGACTTGGGTCGGTGCCCAGAGCCTGGTGGTGGTGTCGCCGTGGTCGTGGTGAAGGATGACCCAGCCATCGCGACCCGCAACCGCAGGGTCAGTACGCGGTGGCCCACAACGGTCGCCCCCCACGGTAGGTAGGCGCCATCGTGATGCTCGCCTGGGTCGAGCCAGACCTCGACGCCAGGGGCGTTCACACGGGACCGCACATCGCGGACGTGGAAGGCGAGGACGTGGTAGGCGGTCGGCTCCTCTTCCGTCTCGATGTGCTCCCACGTATCGATGTCGCTGCTGTCAGAGGCGGAGTTGCCGCCGCTCTGCCGTGACGAACGTGAGGCGGAGCGCCGTGAGCGAGCATGGCCTCGGGCGAGGGCGGCGGCCGCGCTGATGAGGGACGGCGTACGGCGGTCGTCGGCTCCCGATGCCGTCGGTGAGCGGTCTGGACTGTGTCCCGAGGCGGCACCTGGCTGAGAGGTGTGCGATGGGCCAGACGCGGCCCCAGGGCTGGAGCCGCTGGGGCGCGGCGCTCGTACGTCAGACTGCCACCGCTCGGGTACAGCCTGCGCCGTGGCAGTGTACACCAGGTCGATCAGTGGCTGCGGGTCCAGCTGGAGCTTGCGAAGCGAGGCACGCGGACGGGGCTGGTTGGGGTCGGCCCTGGTGGCTGCTTCGGTGTCGTAGTGCTGTGTAGCCCATGCTCGCGCTGCCTCTGGCGAGTATAGTGCCTGTGGCGGTGGCCACGCTGCCACGGTGTCCAGCCGGCGCCAGATCTTTGCCTCCTGGTCGCGGGCTTCAGCCGCCTCGCGGAGGTCTGGGTGATCGAAGCCGGCAATGTGGAGGGCGTGCGTGCAGTCGCCCATGCCACAGGTGTGCGGGAGGGCACGGCACCTGGAGGCAGCTTCGGTGGGGGCACACCAGTCCATGCGGATGAGGAGGCCCAGGACCCGTGGGTAGATGAGGCGCGCTCCGTGAGCCTCCCCGTTCACGAAGTTGTGCCAGTTCTCACCGCGCGGCGGTTTGGTAGCCTCGCACATCCAGAGCGCGATGGGTCCCCAGGCGAGGGTGTCGTCTTCGAGGCTGCGGGGCGGGTGAGGCGGCACCGCGTACCACGCGGCCAGCGACGGGTGCACACCCACGTACGTGCGGTCGACATTTGTGGCGGTTCGGCCCTTCGCTTCACGGCGGGGGCCCGGCAGGAGGTGTCCTCCGTTGAAAGCAAGACGGGCCGCAAGGTCGCCGCGGGTCCCGTGCCAGAAGACCGTGGGCGTGTCAGTGGTAGGAGCACGGAGGTCCCACGTGAGGTAGGGGAAGAGAGAGAGAGGGGGAGGGAGAGAGAGAGGGGGGGAGACAAAAAAAGAGGGGGAGAGTGAAAGAGAGAGGGGGGGCGAGAGGGAGAGAAAAGGGAGAGAGAGAGAGAGAGGGAGAGGGGAAGAGAGAAAGAGACAGCGAGCAGGAAAGAGAGTCAGAGAGAGAGCGAGACCCTGAGGAGACTCCGAGGACGGGGTGGCAGGGGGGAATGGGCGAGGTCCAGATGTCCAGGCGGACGCAGAAGACGGAGACGAATCCTCTCCTCCCTTCTCCTGCACCTGATACGCTGATGCGCTGATGGCGAAATAATCGTACCGACGCCGCCCTCCTCCTCCACCTCCTCATCCTCCGCCTTCTCCTCCTCCTCCTTATCATCCTCCATTCCTCCCTTCCTCCGCATCTTCCTTCTCCTCTGCTCCCCAGAGGGTCCCCGAAGAGCTTCGGAGGGCCCCCGACGGCCCACTAGGTGACCATCGCAGACGAGCACGCGGCCTCCACGACTCCCCCCTCCTCCCGGAGGCGTCCCGGACAGCTCTTCCGCGTCGTCGCGCTTGGGGACGGCGTCGGTGAAGACTTGCGTGACGCTTCTGCGGGGGCGCGGCGGCGGGCGGAGACGACGGCGGCGAGGAGCACCACCACGGCGCGAGGACGAGGGGGGGCGGGTCGCGGCGGGCGGTCGCGTAAGCCCAGTGGGGAGCGTCGGCAGGCGCAGCATGGAGCTCGCGTGGGAGGAGGAGGAGGAGGAGGAGGAGGAGGAGGAGGAGGAGGAGGAGGAGGAGGAGGAGGAGGAGGAGGGGGAGGAGGTGCAGGACGGGCGAGGAAGGGAGGGGTGCACGACGACTCGCCATCGCTCGGACGTCCATTCCCCGTGCCTGTTTCGATGTCGTGCGTGCACTTCCCGCCACATGATCAAAGATGATGCCCGATGGTCCTCGCCGAGAGAAAATAAATGCACACGTCCGAGCGATGCCAAGACGAGGGAGGACGCGAGGCGAGGCGAAGCCAGCGAGGGAGAGGGAGAGAGACGAACGACAGGGCGAGTGGCGCAGGGGGAGGACGAGCAGAACCGAGGCGACGCGATCCTCCTCGTTCGGGACTCCCGCAGGGCCCTCGTCGCCGTGGATGGATCCGCCTCGAGACCCTGGTCGGAACGAGCTCCAGGACAGGTCCAGGCGACGACAACGACGAAGAAGAGGTCGCGTGAGGAGAGGGAGGGAGGAGGGAAGGAGGGGGGAAAGTGAAGAAGAGAAGACAGGCCAGAGCTGTGAAACGATGAACCTCTCTGGGAGTATCGAAACAGCAATGCCAGTTACCACTCCAGCGGCCTGGTTGTGACAATCTGGCATCGCCTCGTCATCCCAATGTGCTGTGCTTATCCCGCCCTGGTGTTGCTGGCTTCACCACTACGCCTCTCGCTGTGCTGTCTGCAATCATTTACATACATGTGCATGTGCACAGCTTAAAAAGGATAATGTATATACTCATACGTCTCATTAGACGTCTGGCTGGCGCATATCAAGATCTCAACACCACTACCTCTCTCGCAATGCATGTGCTGCTGTAGTTCTCTCTGTCCCACCGTTCAAATGCGTTGCCTGGCTGTCAGGGTGGGCCCGAAACAGAGGTTTCGTGCACTCGCCGTGTACACTCGGCTTGGCGCAGTGGACGAAATACAAGTTACGATAAGCAACGCATGTGGAGTGCTGGCCACATAATACAACACGTGTGGTGCAATGTGTGTTGTGCTGTATACACGGTGCTATCCATGGGATGCAGTCCTCCCAGCAAACATCGGCGTGAGACCACCTCCAATGCTGGCGCAAACATCCAACCCACACGACAGCACCGAATTGGCCAAATTCGACCGGCGTACTCTGGGTTTCTTAAGAAGCGTGGGGGGGTACACCCCAGACGGGGGTCAACCTCGCCTCGTCGTCGCGCCGCGACGGGGGTCGGAGCGCCTTCGTTCGGCGCGCGGTGGCTGCATGCGACGGGGGTCGATGTGGGAATGTCGGCGGGCGCGACGCCCCCCCGACGCTTGTCGATAAACTCGGAGTGGTGACCCGAGGACCCCTTATCTGGGCGGCGAGCCAGGGGGGAAGTGAGGAGGGACGTGCCTCAGAAGGCTCGGAGGTCCCCTGGACTTCTGAGAAGTGTTCGAAGCCTTCCCCGAAGACAGAGAGAATTTCTCAGAAGGCGCGAGGGCTTCTGAGAAGTCCCCGCGCCTTCAGAGAAGGCCTCCTCCTTCTCGATTCCCCGCCTCGCTCGCCGCCGATTATCACGCAGATCCGTGCCTCGGGCGGACTGGTGCGGATGGCAAAGGAAAAACCTAACATCTGGAGTCCCGAAACGGTGCGCTGACAGACCGTGCGGTGACCTCGCAATCCCGCAAGACCTCACCGCACGGTCCGTCACCGCGCGGTCTTGGGACCCTGGAGGCCCCCGTCGCCCGAGACGTCCTCTTGGGCACCCGAGTTATCCGGGGTAACTCGGGTCTGGGGTAACTCGGGTTTGGATTCCCGAAAAACGAACCCGAATTAGCCCTGACCCGAGTTACCCCTTGATGAATTGGGGCTCTGGGCGCCCGAATTATCCGGGGTAACTCGGGCCCGGGGTAACTCGGGTTCGGAATCCCGAAAAGCGAACCCGAGTTAGCCCTGACCCGAGTTACCCCTGATGACTCGGGGCTCTGATCCTCGGAGAACGGCCGGAGCCCAAAAACCGTGCGGCGGCCCCGAGACCCCGCCGACTCACCGCACGGCGTGGTCCCCGCCCCGCTTAGGAGGCCCCCGAGGAGCCTCGGGCGCACGGGGAGGCCCCGGGGACGGCGACGGGCGGCCGCTGGGCGAACGCCTGTGGAAAAAAAGAAGAAGACGAAAAAAAAAAAAAACTCCTGCACAGCCGAGTACAGGCGGACGTGATCGGACAGGACATGCAAGACGACACGAGACCCTTCCGAGGGCCACATCGCCCAGGGAACGTAGGAGGCACAGGCCCCGAGACACAGGACACAACACGAGGGTACCCCTGATCTGGCAGGGTCGGCCCACGAATCAGTGCCGACTGTAGGAGGTCCTGGGTCCCAGCACTGCTTGGGGGAACCGAAGGGAACGCAGCAGCCAAGAAAACGACATGAGCAGTGTCTTTTGGAAATGTATTGCCTCGTCATTGCCGGAGCGCAAACGGGGGGCAGGGGGAGGGGGGAAGGCCCCTTAGAAGGAGGCTGTTTCTTAGGAGGCGCGCGCGGGCCTTACATCTACAGTCAAGGCCGTCGCCTTCTCAGAAACAAGGGTGTTTCCACGAAACCTTCCCCCCTCGCATTACCCCCATCTGCGCGCCGCCAAAAGACGGCATGATCAGTGTCTCTCGTGATACGCCTTGCCTTATATCGGGCCTGTCCCCCTACAGGGGAATTTCGACGAACAACGAAGAAGACCCCCACAATAATCCAAACATAGCCCAACAATAGTCTGGGGATTATTTTTTATTGTTGAACCTTTTTGGGGCATGTTTGGGGTATTTTTAGCTGTTGTCGAAAATCCCCCTGTATGGGGGACACGCCCGACATATGTCTTGCCTCATCTGCTCAATTCTCCATTGCCGAAAGATGCCTTCGCGCGCGGCATCACGCCCCGGCCTGCTGATGGCTCGCCTTGGGTTGCGGATGGCCCCGACCCTCAGCGAATACCCAGAGCGTTCCCGCTCCTGACGGCGGAATGGCAGCGAACGTGTGGGAAGAGACAGGCATCCGCGGAGGGGGAAAAGGAGGAGGAAGGGCACGGGGCATGATGGGAATACGCGGGGGCGGCAAGGAAGCTATGGACAGCAAAGCATGCAACAGATGAGTGGGAAGTCGACTCAACTCAACGCCACACCTTGAACATGACGACCGAACCAGGAACTCAGACCAAGCCATGAACTCGCTCCAGACACCGAGCTGGAGCCAGAAGAAAAGTAACATACCCATCGGTCGGGAAAAATAAGTAGAACCATGAAGCAGGAAGGCGTAGGAAGCAGATCGAGCTTCCGCCCGCTTCCTGAAGAAGAGGGAAGAGGGCAAACCGCTCGACGCTTGAAGTAGGAAAGCGGCTAAAGTAGACTGAGCACTGGGAACTCCAAAATGCATGATTTCCCATGGCCAATGGGTAACCTCTCGGGCCCCCACCTCTTCCCTTACGTTCCAACCTACTCTAGCCGTGACCACCAGGGCGAATTTCGAGCGCCAGGGGAAAACAAAACGAAACTCGATGGTTTTCACGCGTCGGGTCCTGGGAGACAATCGCCCGACACTGTTTCGACACTGGTTCGACACTCGTTTGACATTTTTCCTGGGTGCTCGAGATTACTTCTGGGATGCGGTCCTCAAGTAGGATGGGAACAGCATAACCCTTCCCTCCCGTGCCGCCCCCCATTTTCTGCCCGGCGGGCGCTGACCGAGCGAGCGGGCGCCGACGCGCCGTGCCCAGGACAGGCCACCTGCACCGAACTAGGGGGGGGAGGGGAGGGCCCCCACGACCCCGGCCAGCACAGGGGAGTGCGCGGCAGCGGGATGGTGGGGGGCGTTGCCTCCGCGAACGTCGTAGGCAACGCTCACCACCATCCCCTCCTCAGACCAGGAGGTGCCACTGACCACTCTGTACACCCTAGCGGAGCGGCTGGGCCCAATGCCCCCCCCCCCCCGCTCCTTGCTCCCAGACACCTCTCGTCCTGCCTCCTCCATGCTCCTCCCCCTTCACACCTGCCTCCCATTGCTCCTCAATCGGTCGGTCGGTGGGTACGGGTTCCAAGAAACGTCGACGCCCACACTGAAAGTTCGGCACATTATCCCTTCTCCTCCTCCTCCTCCTCCTCCTCCTCCTCCTCCTCCTCCTCCTCCTCCTCATCATCCTCCTCATCCTCATCATCTTCCTCCTCCTCCGCCTCCGTCCATGGCGCTCTGGTGTATGGGCGGTGTCGGACCCACAAATCCACCACGTTGCGCCCTTTGCAGGAACCCCAGAGCCCCGTCTGTAACCTGTGCGGCTCCAACTCTGCAAGGCTCCCAGAATGCAACGACCACGCCTGCTCCCACCTGCTGTTCATCCCGGCTGTCCGCAATGACCGCTCGCGACGCCTCGCTGTTCGGGGACTCCAAGATGACGCAGTGGCTGCGCCCCGCCGTAGGTGCCAAGAGGGGAGCACACGACCAGGCCGCGGGCACCCAGACGAAGAAGTCTGCGACGGCAGGGGGTGCGGGAGGAGGCGGATGAGGCGGAGGTCGGCGGGGCCGAAGGGGCGCAGGCGAGAGCGAGCTCGAAGACGCGTTCAAGGCCCTGTCACACCTCGCGCTCAGCACTGCACGACAGGGCCCTGATCCAGGCGAACATCCTCGAGACCTACCCGATAGACGACACGACAGGGTTCCCTCGAGCGGGCTTGGCAGCCAACGTTCACTACACGGGGCAGGCGAAGGCGCTCAAGGAGCGCAAGGGGCAGGATCCCAGCGTCGACCCTGCCGGCATCGGCCCTCCGTTCCTCAGTCCTCCTGATGATCACGACGGCCACGCGTCGGAACGCGACCCCAGGAGCGCCGAAGGAGGCGATCGAG